TTTAGACTGCCTACAGTGTGTCCATGCTACCCCCGCCATACCTTCATTGGGTCCAGTGAGGGTCCTGAGGGGTGACAGCAAGCTGGGCAGTATCCCCTGCAAGGGAGCAGCCTGGAACTCGGCAGGGACGAACACCAAGGAGGAGTCGAAAGCGATCTCTTCCAGCTCAGCCTGATCAGCAGCCTTGTTCCCGATGGCAAAGGCCAGGATGTTGCTAGTCTTCAGCTCCTGGGCCGGCTGGCTAACCTCATCTAGGGACTTCCCGCCGGTGACCAGCACCAAGAGCTTGGGCACCCCCTCGGCAGCCCGGTAGCCAGCTGCGCTAGTGAACAGGTTGTTGCGGACGAAATCCAGCGCGGAGCCCGTGTACAGGGCAGAGCCATCCAGGGGCTTCAGTCTCCGCACCGCGGTCATGACCTCCCTCTTGCTGGGGTAGCTATTGAAATAAAACTCGGGCCTGACAGTATCTGCGTACTGCGCCACTGCTACCTGGATAAGGTCCTGTCCAATCTCCAGCCTCTGGATGACCCTGGCAACGAAGTCGCGGATGGCATTGAAGTTGGCCAGTCCCAGTGTGGAGGAGCCATCTATCAGGAAGACTATGTCCCTCTTGTTGACTTCAGTGACTGTAGGTAGCAACACAAGACAGTGATAAGCAGGACCTTCATGATCACTCTCAACCAGGACTGTAGACCGAGGGAGCTCTGCTTAAGGGACACTCCCATTTTCTCTGGCCCATGTCAAGTCAGGGAGGAGCCTCGGGCAGGGAAGGGTCATCGCACCCATGTTTGTAACACGTGCATCCTTTGCTGCTGAACCGCAAGTTGGAGTGCCCTCTCACCCAGCCCACGCTTGGCACGTTTCACACGACTGTTGCACAAGAACAAACTTTGGCTTTCGTAGCCTTTGGTGTAGCACGCGGACACTTGAAAGCCACTAAGCTCTTTCCTCCTATAAATATACTTGTCTGGCTTGGAGTTGAGGGGCCAGAAGGAAGCCATTGTTTTAATAACTAAAAGAGTAGCTGAGGGTGCGCCCTGAGAGTCCCTTGGCCACATGATCTTGATTCCAAGGGACACGCATTGCCAGCAGCCAAAGCAGAACGAGCAAGCCCAGCTCCATTCTCTCTCATTCTATTTCCTGGGGGCAGGTGGGGGGGGGCATTAGTTGGCATCATAAATGCCAATACCAGCAAGTGCCGCTGAATTATTGTGGCTGAAGTACCCTGCAGTAGAGAGTTTAAATCCCACACAAAGACCTGGAGAACTGAAAGACAGGTCACAAAGCAGAGAGATGCCAATGATGCCACTTCCAGGGGGTGGCTGGTGAGCTGCCACATCGGTGCGTTTGTTCACTGGGGTCATAGAAGCGAAGGCTGGCACAGACCAGAAAATCTGTCTGGACTGCTCCGTAGGGCTTTAAACATCTGAGGGAAGGGAGGTATCGCATCAGGTTATGCCGTCAATGTATTCAGTCGTTTGAACAACTTGAGGAGGCCACCGTCAGGAGGCCATGATGGCCTTTTGGTTTTGTGCCACTTCAACTCACTTGAGAGGGGTCAAGGCCACTATGGCTGGTCAAGACTCTCCTCTCAAAGGGAAAGTGTGTGCTCGCACACACAGAGATACAACATAACTGGCACGTCAAGACCGTTGCTAAGGCAAGTTGTGGTCTAACCAAGGAGTGGGCAGATTCTCAGGCCTCAAGTAGCCCTGCAGACATGGGGCATCCTCACCCCATGTGCCTGTTGGAAGATAGGGAGTACCGCACCCCCCACCCCAGATTTCTGCCTTTTCCTTCTCTCTCTAGGTCTCTCCAATTAGGGATGAAAGATAAGCAAAGGTAGGTACACAGAGATAAGCATCGTTATAGGCATATAGATAGAGAGAGAGACTTGGAGATCGAGATTACCACGGATTTCATTGTGTTCCCCCACCCTAAAATATATGTTGGAGGTGGACGTGACCCTGTTTGAACACAGATGTTTCTGTTACATTGAGTAGGCCATACTCGAGGCCAGTGGGCCTCACTCTAGACACTTCTGCATTATACAAAGAGCACCTGGACATAGAGACACACATGGGGAGACGGGGAAGACAGAGGGGCCAGCAACACACACAGATGCACAGATGCATGGACAAGCCCTGGGTCTCCAGGGAAAGCACAGCTACGAGAGGCTGAACAAGGCAGGACTTTTCCACAGTAACACCCCCAATTCAGATTCGCCGCTTCCTGAATTGTGAAAAAATACAGGTCTGTCTTGAAAGCCAGCCACTTGGGATACTTCCATTGTAGCAGCAGTGGGTGACGGATACAGACAGACAGAGACAGAGACGGATGCAGACATCGTTGACAGATATAGACATCTAGACACCTCTTCGATGTTTGTTGACTCTCAATTACTAAGCTTGAAGATGGTATTTATAAAATGCTCACGAGTTAAGAGACGACTGAAATGCGGGCAGTCTACAGCCATGCCACCCTGAACGAGCCCGATCTCCTCTGAAATGAGGGCAATGCACTACCACTCACAGCAAGGCACCCGGATCTTCCGGAATGGAAATGTCTTCATCTACTTGAACTCCTTTGTTGGGAATCCAAGAACCGAGAGTCTAGTGATACTGTGTGGCCTGCCCAGAGTCTAATAGCTGTGTGTTCCAGATCAGGACTCCAAGGCCAGATTTTTCTGAAGGCAGCCTTGGGACTCCCTGTGCACAAAATGGTTTTAAGTGGGTTCTTTACTTCCAAAGATGTAAACTCCCATGGAAATGAGAGCAGATCATTGGACCTTCCCAGAGCACTTCCAGGTCTGAAAGGTCACAGGAATGCCACCATGTTGGAAATGAGCCTCTGGCAAATTCCCATGGTTCTGCCCTGTCCGTTCCCACATCACACACACACACACACACACACACACACACACACACACACACACCCGCTCGCCTGAAGGACTGTGGTCAGGTCTAGGCTCCCATCAAATGAGGGGGAAACGCTGGGCATCTACCAGAAATAAAAGGCGAGCCTTGTAGGGTTGGCCTTACTAGTGGAAATAAATGTTATGAAAGCTATCCATCCTCTGGTCAGTTACCTTGGTGTATGTGTTTCTGCAGCCCCAGCAGGCCACATGGCAGCCCCAATGACTGAAATCAAGTACGGCATGCCTTCCCCCACTAAAATTGTATTTTAAAATGACAATTGACAGTCCTTCTTCAAAGGAAAACTCAATTGTTAAAATGGGGAAAGAGGGCAATATCGTACTAACAAATTAATTTTGTAGACACAGATACACATCATTTGCTTAGAAAGTTGACAGTCAAGATCAAGTGTACTGATCCACTCAAGAAAATGTAATCATTGGTTGTAGATGACCACCAGTGTCCAGTCAAGATGCTCACGGCATTAGGCCAGGATGCTCAGGACAGGGAAGAATAAGCCTAACAAGGTTTGACATTCGAGAACTATTGTGAGAGCCTCTCAGCTGTGTACACCTGGCAGTGAGTTGAGTGTTTCAGGAAACGATTGCGGTGCCATCCTAGGATTAATCTACCAAACTGCATCCTGTTGGCCTGATGCAGTCTACAGAGACTCGGGTCTCAGAGAGTAATTGATCAGGGGAGGGAGCTCTGTCTGTTCCCCTATCCTCACTCTGCTAGCTGCTTCATGGGCGCGTCTACCACAACGGGACACTCCGTTGCTTCTGGGAAGCAGTGCGCCTGAGGTCTAGACCTAGCCCAGCCTCTGCAAGACTGTGACTCAACAGCATCCCTCCACAACCAGGCTTCCAGTCTGTGCCTCAACTTTTTCTCGTCTGTAAAACCCACGCAATGGAAAACCCCATCCCTCAGGCTTCCATGACACCAGTGCAAAAATTATCCTCATCAGAGGACTGCCTAGAAATAGCCAGAGAATGGCCAGAACGTAATTCCACAGCCATTCGATTGACCCACGCTGCAACGTGCTCGCTCTGATCAGGAATAAAACCTGGGCTCATCTGAGAAGTCTTCAGCACCCATAATACGGTGTGACGATCTGTCAGGTTTATAATTAACACCGCATCTGATTTAAATTTTGAAAATACATCCCCCCCTTCCCATATATGTGGAAATGCATGTTTGTTCTATGACTTGGCTGGTGTTGTCTTTGAAAAAGCCACTCCCATGAGTTGTGTCACCAAAGACCCTACATTCAAGTGTGTTCCATCAACTTGCCACTCAAAGGAATTCCCTTTAAGTCAGAGAACTCCACCGCCTGGCTGCTTTCTCGTCTCTTACCTTCAGAAGGCACACATGGCCCCAGGGCCCCAGCACTGAGCACCTTTGAGGAGTTGGCCCACCATCTGTTCCACCATTGCTGTCGGATGAGACTTTTCTTATTTTTTAAATGTCTGAATCCACTGGATTTTGGATTTTGAATGTGGATTTTAGAGGCCAATGTGGATTTTGGAGGCCAATACAATTCTCTTGGAATAGTTTTCTCTGAATTATAATAAAACCCAGTTGCCATTGAGTCAGCTGTTAGTCACGGCAACCCCGTGTGTATCAGAGCAGACCTGTGCTCTGAAAGCTCTTCACTGGCTGCTTTTTTTAAAAAAAATAGACCCCCGAACTTTTCTCTGAGGTCTCCCCAGGCACCTCAAACCTCCGACCTCTCCGTTAATAGGAGGACGCACTAACCATCCGCATCAGCCACAAGATCCACTCAAATCCACGGTTGGGACATCTGGACTCTCACAAGATAAGACAACAAGGGTTGTTATCCTCACGGAAAGAGGGGCATGTGGAGGTGGGCTTTCTTCATACTTTCTTGACCTTTCTTGACAAAGGACACTCCTACTGATCTTCAGTCTTTCAAACTCGGTACCCTTCACAAGCATCTCATCCAAAGAGCGCAGCACAGAAAGACTGGCCCGTGGTACTTACGGGTCCTCCCGGGGTAAGTCGTTCTGGTGCCTGCCTCACTTCCACAGAACCAACACACACAGCGCCCCCCCCCCCACCCCTCCACCCACCCCCACCTTGGGCAAGAAGAGCATACGTACCTTCAGTGACAATGGTTGGAGGTTGTAAGACAATGAGCCTTTGGGCCACGCCAACAATGTACGTCAGTAATTGCTCCTGGAGGTCCCCAAGGCTACGGAATTCCGGGACAGTAAACACCAAGTTGTCACTGGTAGCTATGTGCTGGAGCTCTGAGCGGGCAGCTGCCTGGGCGCCGAGGCCAAAGGAGAATACGCCTGCCTGCTTCAGGGCTACCACCCCTTCTCGGATCTCATCGCTAGAAGGCCCGGCACTTATGAGGACCAAAACCTGGGGGACCCCTTCCTTCACTCGGCTGCCCCCTGCCTGGGTGAAGTGATTCTCCACAACGAAATCAAGGGCATGGCCAATGTTGGCCAGCTCCCCACCAAGGACCCTAAGGCCCTTCACCGCCCCCAGCACCTGAGCCTTGGTGGAGTAGGTATTCAAGGAGAACATGGTCTGGGGCTCATCGCTATACTGGACCACCCCCACTTGTATCTGCTGAGTCCCAATCGAGAGTCTCTCAAGGAGATTGACAAGGAAGTCTCGAATGGCTGGGAAATGCACACTTCCGGTGTTGTTTGATCCATCAACAAGGAAAATAATGTCAGCAGAGTCTTGTGCTTCAAGAGAAAGAAATGGCAAAAAAAAAAAAGAGAGAGAGAAAACAAAAACGTGAAAGCATTAGAACAAGTGACAACATGCAATCCGTTTGGTGTTCTCATGCGTTTCTCCAGAAACCGACAAGAAACACACAGTCTGGAAGGAAACATGTGGGTTAAGGACCATGACATCCTCTTTCAGGTCTGCATTCTGAATGGATAAGAGGCAACTGGGTGGAAATGGCCACAGGAGCCCAGCTCGCGTATCCTCGCTTATGTAGCCCTATGTCAGAGCATCCGATTTGCACATCCTCAGGGACAAACCTTGAGGACCTGTGCTGGACACATCCATGCTATGGAGTTGACTGGAATTCTGCACCCCTAGACCTATTGAGGAGAATCCCAAAGATGATTCCTAAATCAGGGACATCTCTCCATCCTTTTTCAGGGATGATGAGAATTTTTGCAGTGTGGATACAGGAGTCATGGTCTGTCCACGCATCACTTTCCAGGTGTCCAGATGACTACCGTGTCTTCCTCGTTCTTGAAATATCAGAATGATGGGTCGCATGCAACTTTGAATGTGGGGGGAAGAACTAAAGCGAGATGCACAGTTGTTTTGTTCTCTGTTTAAACACCCGGACGCACACTCTGCTTTGGGTTTCTTTTCTCATCAGAAGGATGGGTGTATGAAACGCAAATGTGAGTCTAGGTTGGGTTAGACGTTCTGTTCTGTGTGTGTGTGTGTGTGTGTGTGTGTGTGTGTGAGTGTGTGTGTGTGTCATGTGGATTTGGGTGAAAGTGTACACAGGACATTGCTTTTCCTTTGCTGCTGTTGTTGTTGTTTAAAAATAAAAGGTCCATTCTGAGGTGGATGACATTGGACAGTGCAGATTGGCTGTCCGTTCAACAGCACAGACCCAGGCTGTCTGCGGCGCTGGCAGAAGCCCCTGGGAGCTGCCCACTTCGTTTGGTGTTGCCTCTGTATCCAATCATGTAATGCAGAACAACGTTAAACAGGGTGCTATGAATCCAGTCATGACACAATTATCCAACTCTATTTTCATGACATCCTAACCTGGGTGCCTCTTGGGTCCTTGACCAGCTATCAGCCCTTAGCATCGGAATTCCCTCTGGGGCTCTAGCAAGAGACGTAGAGGGGGCTCCCAGACCATCTTTTCCCTCCACGGTGGCAGGAAAGACGCACCCTGGGAGTGGGGTTCCAAAAGTGCCCCGAGCAAGGGGTAGAAATCAACAAATCTAAAGACCAGGGTCAGGGAAATGCCACTAAGGTCCAGCTGGAGCAGCGGTTCTCTCCCTGTGGATCACGATCCCTTCGGGGGTAGAACGACCCTTTCACAGGGGCCACCCGATTCATCACAGTAGCAAAATGACAGTGATGAAGCCGCAACTAAAGCAATGCTATGGTTGGGGGTCACCACAACATGAGGAACTGTATGAAAGGGTCGCAGCATGAGGAAGGTTGAGAACCGCTGAGCTAGAACATTTAAATCATATTGATTTAAACTCAAACACGTGCACAGTAATTTCCATCACTATGGTTAGTGACTTCTGAATGTGTTTGGAATACCCAGAGATTTTGTGCGAGCATAAGAGATTTATATTCTGAGTTTTGTCATGACGACGGGCATTTCATAGTTACAGCTCTTTTGCCCCTGCACCAGAAAAAACGGCTTTCATTTTCACCGTGGAAAGAGGATACAAATTTTGCCTCCTAAAAATTGAAGGATTTTTCTGTGGAAACTAGAGTCTTACCCAAGCACTGTCCTTGAATAAGTTGAACCAGAGATGGCTAGAACCAGAACTACTCGCTTCCCCCCCTTACGTCCACAACACTCACTTGAGAAACGTATGTGTAGATGAACTATTTGCCTTTGGAAAGCTATTAACTTGGAAGCATCAGATGGAAACAACCATCTATTGTGAAGGATAATTATTTTTATAGTGGATATCTTGGGATATTAACAATTGTCCCATAGAAATATTAAATAAAACTGAGACATTGTTAAGTAATTCAAAATATTTTCTACTCTTGCTCCAAGGCATAAAATTCTGGGAGGATCTTTTTGGTGGGGGGTGGGGTTGTGTTAAGGAGTATGAATCATATAGGGGGTTGTATAAGGAGCCTGCATCCTCATCTGAGATAACGACTCCGTCAAAGATGCTGCCTCAGGCTCCCAACATTCCCTGGTGCCAAATCGATGACCTTGAGGGGCATGAAAGGGTTTCCCACACTAATAGGTCAAGTCCACTCTAAAGAAGGATTACGTATAATCTTAGGGCCAATAAAAGAGAAGCAACACCTAAATCATACGATGACAATATCTCTTGTTAACCTACTACTTACTCTTTGGTTACAACTTACACTAGAATAAATAAAAGAACCCTGGGATTGGGGTGGGGGGACTCCTTGAACAGAGGTCATGAAAAAATGTTGGATAATTTGTCATCACTGAAGATACAACATCATTTTCGTACACACACAATGATGGAACATACAAAGCATGCTTGGTTATCCAGGAGAGACACAGCCTCAAGTAGACACAAGACCAGAGTTCCACGTCTCTAGCAAGGCATCCCAACAAGCAGAATGGTGCTGGCTGTCAACAAACCTATCTAAGGTGACAACGTGGAAGTTGTCTCCTTGGCTACTTCTGTGACTCGTGTCTCATTCATTTCGGTGGTACTTTTGAGGGTGGAAAGATTTGATGTGTCCATGGAAAATTACCTCCTGCCTGATCATTGGAAATGTTCCTTTCTGGGACACATCTGCTTAAGTCCGATGCCTTCCTAGCACCTATATTCTTATCTCCAATGCAAAACATAGGATCGCACATAAGTTTAGGCCATTTGTCAACGCTTCCAGTTGTTTGCAGCGAAAAGAAAGCTGTATTCAGGTCCTCACCGTCCTATATCACCTTGACCTCTCCACTCACCATTATGGTTGCATTTCAGTCAAATCCATCTTATGTTTTGAGGGTTTGTTTGCTTTTTATGACACAAGAGGTTCAAAGAACATCACTGATCATCTTTAGAGATCAGTTAATTAGATGACCGTTAACATTATATCCGTATGTGTTTCTTAATCAGTTACATTCTACAGGGAAAGTTACCTGGCCAACAGGTAACCAATGGGAAGACTAGGCGACTGCCATCAAGTCAACTCTGACTCATGGTCACCCTGTGTAATCTGAGACTATAAATCCTTATGGGAAACATGAGCCTCCTCTTTCTCTAGTGGAACGTCTTGTGGGTTTGAACCGCCCACCTTATAATGAGCAGCCCAGCACTTATCCACCCCGGCTCCCTTTGGGGAACAATAGACCCTAATTTATTAGCTGTCTCTATAGCACCCTCCTAACTACCCTGCCGTGAAACTGTAAGCAGAGACATTATTGTGTGGTGATTGCTTCGTGTGTGCGTGTAACATGCACGTGCAGTTCCGGAAGAACTGCCGAGTGGAGTTCATTAGAAAAGGCAACGTGAAGAGAGGAAGAGTCCACCTTGGTGCTGCTAGTGGTTGCACACTAGAAGACAGAGATGTTTTCTTGGCTAAAAACAAAGGTTTTATCATCTGTGTGGACGTATCATTAGGTTGATTGATTCATTTAGCTGTCCGTATGGGGATGGACGTATTTGCTTATTTGGATGATGGCTACACATAGGAAAAACTCATCTGTCCTGTCCTGGGTTTGCCAAAGAAACGGTGCTTGATTTCTCTACCGAGCCTCGTCACTGTGTTGTGATACAGATTTGATTTTTATCCTTAAACCCCGATAAGGGGGTGCTGTAGGGAATCAACAATCCTGACCATAGTGTAGAACATAGTCACCATCAAAGAGACCTCTGACCCTTCCACTGCAGGTTGGGGTTGCTTGGTTTGTGAAGTCTCTTGTTTATCAGTGATCTGGCAGGGTGAGTACAAAGCCTTCATGCCAGGGCTGGGATTGCCGGTTGGAACCGGGGCCATTCCCCTTTTATAAATGCCCACTATGAAGTCTTTTCTTTCTAGGGCTCCTGGTTAATACCCTGGGCAGCACCCTCGCTCCTTCCCTGGAGAAGCCGTCCAATCCACAGGAGCCTCTTCCCTGGCAAAGCTGGCATCACTCGGAACCACGGGAAGCCTGGTTACCAGCAATCTTCTGACACCCCTTGAGCCGAGTTCAGAAACCAAGTCCTGCGGACACCGTTCACCCCATTTCCTGTCTTTTGCCTTCTGAATGCCTATTATGAAAATCGTCACTACCTAGTGCTCTTTCACTAAACAAAATAAACCCCATTGCCAGCTGATCAGTTCTGACTCAGAGGCACCCAACAGGGCAGGGCAGACCTGCCCGTTGTCTCCCAGGCTGGCAATCTTCACAGAAACAGATCGCCACCGTTTTCCCCCACAGCTGCTGGGTCCAAATAGCCAAGCTAAGTGCTTGACCAGTGCACCCCTCCAGAAAGCTCCGTCTCTCTAGCCTTCGTCTGCTGCCTGCCCCTCTAGGAGCCCCTCCTGCTGAGCCCTTAGACTGCGTGATATAGACCTCGCAGGCTCAACTCTCTGTTCTTTTCTTTTTTTAACATTCTATTGGGGCTCTTACAGCTCTTATGACAATCCACACATCCGTTGTGTCAAGCACACTTGTACATATGTCACCATCATAATTGCCAATATGTTTTCTTTCTACTTGAGCCCTTGGTATCAGCTCCTCATTTCTCCCTACTCCACCCACCATCTTAAATTAGCCAGTCTGACTTTGTGCCACTTGCCTCCTGTCTCCTGAAATCCCCTCATGATAACCACTTTCACAAACTGGGAGAAAGAGTTGGCTGCAACCTTTCTTTCCCTAGCATCCCCTCTTCTCTGTCATGGTGCCCACTGAGGCCTGCACACCCATGCCCTCCTGGGTTCACTCAGATGCGTATCCACTTCTTGGTTTGAAGCTGTGCACACAGAAGAAGTGCTTCCACTTTCAGCTCCATCGTGCTCCGCTTGTGCCCACACTCCATGCTCCACCATCATCTCCAGACACCTTTGTGTCTGTGTGGATAAGCCCTCTAAGTGCCAACCTCTTGGATCTACCGTATATAGTCGTGTATAAGCTGACTTTTCCAGCACATGTTTGATGCCGTTCTTGAGGTAAAATTAGGTGCCTCGGCTGATAATTGGGTAGGCTTATACTCGAGTATATAGGGTAATTTGGTCTCTGTCTATTGCACTTTAATCTCACGAGGGCTGGGAGATTAGCATCCCCTGGGACGCCTCCACCACTAGATCAGTTCTCCAAAATCTTCCTCCCTGCAGACCCAGCTTTCCCCTGGCCACACTCAGCTGCCTCTGGGCACGTCCTCCTCACCCTGCCCTCTCGTGCTCTGGCACTTCAGAAATCCCCCAACGCAGGTTCCCACCCAGCGAAGACCTTAGGGTGGGCTCTTTCTGGAATCTGCTTGCTACCACCCTAGATTCTTCCTCCTCTCTGCCACTTCTTCTTGAACAACACTAGCTTCTGACCTGGAGAGACTGAGGTCTCCACAGAGAGTCGTGGAACCCCACTCTCTTCCGACAACCAAGCGTCACTGCAGATCAGCAGTGACCACGGTGAACACTCTGACTCCTTCCCCATGCCGCCCCTGCAGCAACTATTCAAAAAAAACACCTCTTCCTCCACGCTTCCAAGCCCAATGGCTTCGCTTTCCCCATCACCTTCCTGTATGGAGATGGCGGGTGCCAACTCAACTTGAACTCTCTCGGCATTCAACCTGAGACCTTCGAATCTCAGACACGTCCCTCTCTCCCTGCCTTTCTCACCAGCTCACAGGAGGCACCACCTCTCCTGCTTGAAGCTCATGCACCCACGATATTCCTGATTCCACTCTAGCTCCATGCCCACTCGATCCAGAGTCTGCAGCACACAATAACCAAATGTCTCGTGGCCTCGTGTTCTAACCAAAGGAGGTCCCTCTGCCCAGCCCAGCCCTCGTGAGTCAGCCTGCCCATGGGCACTGGTCTAAACTGCCCTGATGGGTTAATGCTTACACTTCGGTCTTTCCTCATTGGGCTTTCAGTCACAGGTAATGGGAGGAGAGCTAACTGGCTCAACAATGGTTAATTAAAGTGCCTGCCGAATGATAGGTCAAGGCAGTGCTCATGCTTGACCAGTACTTCTGGGTGGGCCCTAATGAGCATCCCTGGAATCAGATGCGTCTACGGGCACAGCCACCACTGTGGTGCAGAGAGGACGAGGGAGGAGCCAAAACGCGGCTCTGGCTCATTCTCTAACTGCACATCAGTTCCTGTCTCTAGGGCTCCGTGTCCTCAGAAGAGAGTGTGGGTAGATCATGTTTAAGGTTTCTGCCGATTCTAATTCTGTTCATTCTGCCCACGGAGCAGAGGAGAAGAGCTGGTGCCATCCCAGGGGACGTGGGTGGACAGGCTCCTGCCTCTCTCAGCTCCTGGCTGGGGGAGATGCAGCTTACTGAAGCAACCAAAAACTCTCTGCCATCAATTCGATTCCGATTCTCAACGATTCTATGGGCCAGGGTAGCACTGCTCCTGCGGGTTCTTGAGAGTGTATCTTTTCATGAGAGTAGAAAGCCTCGTCTTTCTCCCACGTTAAGGAAGTGGACCCAGTCACAGACCAAAGGCAATTTTCTTGGATGCCGACCCAGCTATGTGGAGGGTCTCTTTTCTGACGAAGGGAGAAGTTCAAGTACTTCTCTCCCAGAGGGTCGCCTCTGCCAAGTGTTGGTTTTCTAGCGTTAAAATATTCCTTGTCACACAAAAAGTGGGGGGGGAACAAGTCTCCTCTTGGATGTGGGTAAAATCCTCCCTGTTTTAGAAAGAGGCAACTGAAGAATTTTCCAACCTTTGTTTTTACATCCATGAATATTCATCTCTTCCCTGACGCCCCACCCCCCCCACCCCGCTGCCCCCTGCCGCCCCCTGCCATCTCTCAGCCAGAGTGCTGCTCTAACGCCAGCGTCGGCGAGCTGAAGAAGGAACGGGGGGCCAGGCGAAGCTTGGCAATGCTGCATTACCTGTGATGTCTTTAAGGGTCTTTGTGTCCCCAGCCCTCTCTGGAAACACGGATGAGTGAACGCGAGACACTAAGTTTCCCACTATGGCATGCAGGGAGGTGGCATTCACTAGGTTGAAAAGGTGTGCATGGAGCGGGCCGCTGGCTATTTGTCTCAGCGCTCCTTCGTCTGCATCCTCAACTCCAACTGCAAGCACGTTCCCCTCAGCAGACTGAAGTTCCCCTGAGGGCCGGGCAAGACCGTCCTCCGACTGTCCATCGGTCAGCACTATCACAACCTGAGGGACGCCGTCCCCGGCCCGGCTCCCAGCAGCCTTAGTGAGGTGGTTTTGCTTTACGTATTCTAATCCCGGTCCGGTCCGATTGCTTCCCCCAACGTAAGACAGGTTGGAGATACGAGCCAGGACGTCTTGTTTGGTACGATAGGTATTTAACAGGAACTCAGTGTGTGGGTCTCCGTTGAACTGGACCAGAGCAAAATGGAAATCATTGTTCCCCACAGCTAAAGCCTTTACCACCTGGTACAGAAACTCCCGGACAAGTGGGAATTGCTCCTTTCCAATGTGCCAAGAGGAATCCACTAGAAATATTATATCAGCAGCAGCACCGTTTGGGGCATCTTTAAAAAAAGACATTGATTTAGATTTGGCTACTGCTCAGGCAATGAGTTCCTACCTACAAAAGCCTCCCTGGACAAATTGAGTTTGCACTACCCCGATGCTAACTCTCTGACACCCACTTGCAATACAGGCAGGTAGACAGCTTACCTGAGAAGCGGAGGGTCCGGACACATGGGCTCAACAGCTGATGGCGTCTGCTCATTGACTCGAGTTCCACATACATGGACCACAACTCATGACCCAGTAACATGCCCCCGATGGAAAACAAACAGACAACTTCTCGTGGACTGGTGTTTGCCCCCAACTCATGAGTCTTCATGGCGGTTTGAGCCCCAGAACCCACTGGACCAGACCGGAGGGAAATCTCACCCCAGGTTAGCAACCACCATGTTCCAAAGACACTTTTCAGTGTTAGGTTTGAAACGGGGCCTCGACAGGAAAGTGAACCCTACATGTGGTCTACATTAACCAACACCCAATGCTTTGGGTAGTCGGACAGAAAACAAACAGTACATTCATTAAACATATTTACATCTCCTTAAAGTGAGGAAGACCTGAGTGTATGCAGAGAAGCACCCATGTCCCATTTTTCTCCAACATTTGAGTATCACCAAAGGTGCTTGACCTAGTTACTACTTATTTTACAGAAAATTTTACAAAAAATCCTTCAGAGACATTCGATCTGATTCACGTCTTTCAAAGATGTGCTCATGTCTCCCTCCAGAACAGAAGTGAGAAGCGAAGGGTCCCAGGTCAGGGGTGCCTGGTGGCCCACTTTTCTGGCTGTTGGCCAGGCTGGTTGTGCACTGGGGCACCCAGACTCCACACACCCCACCTGAACTGATGGCCCTCCAGACTGCCTGTGCCATCGAGGCAGAGCTGCGAGTCCTGGCCAGAGGCCCCGGCTCCCCCATCAGTGGAGAAAGACCCCACTCAATCCTATCTAGAGTATAACCTACCACTGTCAATGCTGGAGGCATCTCTCTGCTTTCTTCCACCCTACAAGCTTATATATTCTCCACAGGGCTCATTGGGATCTACTTATTTTTGAGTAGTTTTGGTGAAGTGATTCTTTCAAGATCCAATCACTAGAAAGATTTAAAAATGTTTTCCTGTGCCCAGAGTAACAAAGAAAGTGATCTTGGTTTTTCAGGAAAAGGGCTTTTTGTTTTGTCTTGCTGTAGCACTTGCCATCTCCCGATTCCATGAGTTTGGAGATGCACCAATGCCAGAAATATGGAAACGCTCTTCAGAAGGGGAACATTCCCAAAACAGACATTCAGCTCACACCCAGTGTCAAAACAAGCCATTGCAAAACCAGCTGCAGGATCCCAAGCCTGAGTTGAAGTAAAGTGAACGAGATCGCCTCTCCCTGAGCAGAGCCTGTTGACTAAACCAGCACCTCACACTGAATGACTTCCTATCCCTTAATAGCCTCTCTAGACTCTCCCTCAACTTCCTGCTGACTAAGATCTAAAATCGGTGACCAGAAATGTTGCCGGGCTTACCTGCTTGTTGCTGGGCCCTGGTCATGGAAAAGCCTGAGAGAAAGAGGCAGCAGAGGGCCACGAAGGTCAGGCTTCCGTGGTTCCTCATTTTGGGTTTGTCTGAGCACCAAGTATGGACCTGAGAGAGAGAATAGGGCGGGGGTGGGGGGAGAGATCAGTTCCTCATACTACCCACCTCTCGGGAAATAAGAAACGCTGTTTCTCTGCCCCGTTCAGAATCCAAGCTGACTTTCCAATTTATTCTTAAACTGGTAGCAAATGAATACCTAATAGATAGAAATGTACAGGCACAAAGACATAGGTAGGTAGGCACGTAGATAAGGTGACAAATAAAAATAGATGAATGTACATATGTAGATAAAGACACAAAGACAAAGATAGATGGTAGTAAGTATATAGGTAGGTAGGTAGATGATAGATAGATAGATAGATAGATAGATAGATAGATAGATAGATAGATAGATAGATAGATAGATAGACTTACAGACATCTGAGAGCTACATACATACAGAATGCCCACCCCTTACCCATGGTTTCACTTTGCACAGCTTCAGGAAGTATTTTGTTCTGTTTTCCAAACCCACGCAGTGGCACCTATCAACATCTGCGTGTGCCTGCATAGGTATGTGGACACATGCACACAGAGTATTTCTTTAAAACCTAGCAAAGGAAGGACCAGCAGAGAAACAAACGGAGAACGGAAGGGCAGTTGCTAGATGAATGAGAGGTGGTAGAGGATTCTCTCTGTTCCCGGGACACAAGGCTCCCTCAAAGAAGGCCGCGCGCCTTCCTGCTCGAACGTCCTGATGCAGGCATGAAAACACCGTCGCGTGAGCTCTTTAAAAGCTAGCCAGTCGTAGTGGTTTCTCACCAGCTGAGAGTGTCCTTTCTTTAACCAGATTTCTCAGAGCTCAAGGGTCTGTCTCTTGGGGAGAGAAGCTCTGATTAAACATCTACGTGACACCCCGGATTGAGTGGCGTCCCTAAACCGGCCCAGGTGAACACCTGTGCGTTTGAATCTTCTTGTTCCTCCCCAACTGAGCCAGGCAGCAACAGCAGGCTTCCAAACAAGTGCGGATGGAAACGGGTCTTCAGTGATACACGTGGCCTGTTAGCAGCATCCTGCTAACTCTGCCAGCCATGTCTGAAGGAAGCTCTAGAACAGCGGTCTCAACCTGTGGGTCACAACCCCTTTGTGGGTCAAACGACCCTTTCACAGGGGTCGCCTAAGACCATCGGAAAACACATATTTCCGATGGTCTTAGGAACTGAGACAACACTCCTCTATCTGTCTCCAGGCGGGTCTCCCACATGCAGATACACCCATTTACAAGTACCTGGAATGATGACATCATCATGCCAACCCTCTCACATACACCCCGTACAAATACAGGTGTATGTGACAGGGTTGGTGCCATAATGTACTTATGCGGGCCAGTCACACATGTATAAGGAGCAGCTACTGCGTAGAGAGCAGCTGCTGTGTTGAAAGCAGCTACTTAAAGCAGCTACTGTGTTGCAAGCAGCAGTATTGGAGGTAAAATGACACTACATGAATTATAATTACTGGGTAAATGCTTTAATTAACGCTTTAATCACTATGCTTCAATTATGTTCCATTTGTAACCATGAAAATACATCCTGCCTATCAGATATTTACATTACAATTCATAACAGTAGCAACATGACAGCTATGAAATAGCAACAAAAATAACTTTATGGTTGGGGTCACCACAACATGAGGAACTGTATTAAACGGTCACGGCATTAGGAAGGTTGAGAACCGCTGCGCTAGAAACTTCAGTTCCCAATTGGGCTTCGCCAAGTCACATGCACAAAAGCCACCATAGCCGCTGGCATTCTCTACTACTATTTTGCAATTTTGTTCTGCAGTGAGCATCTGCTGCCTGCCAACCGCCAGCCTCCGAAAGGAGCAAGCCCCAAACGCCTGAGGCCACTGAGTCTATTCTGATCCGTGGAGAGCTCATGGGACGGAGCCCGAGGTAGTTATCTTTCTCGCATGAAGCAGCTGGTGGGTCAGACAGTCCCATGACAGTTAGCAGCCAATCACGTAACCAGCGCACCACCATGGCTCCTTGGATTGAGCCAAAAACTCACTACCATTGAGTTGATTCCGACTCCTGGCAGCCCTATGGGTCAGGGCAGAACGGCCCCCTCTGGGTTTCTGAGACTGTCACTCTTCACGGGAGTAGGAAGTCTTGTCTTTCTGCCATGGAGTGGCTGGTGGTTTTGAACTGTCAGTCTTGCACTAACCCACGACACCCCCAGGGCTCCTTGAATTGAGCCCAGTGCTAGTTACTTAGTAAGACTCTCACACGGTGGCCCGGTGTCCGTGTTGGTGGACCAGTGGGTGGCTGTGAACTAGACTTGAAGTCACTTGTCTCACACTATGATAGCTCAACAGGCTGGCTCACCAAACCTTTTCCTCCAACACCGCCCCAACTCCCCCACCCCAAACCAGAAGAGGACCCCCCAACCTCAAACTTGCATGTCCATCTCTTCACGGTCCAGCCCCCAGATCCGACGACATCACCCTGAGGTCTGGGACATTGCCAGAGGTTCCGGAGCACACTTGTAATAAAACCGATTTCCAGTGGTACCTCTTAGCAACCCATGAATGCGGCTGTTCCCAGAACCTACTTTGGGAGAGGTGGGCTCACTATTTCTGTGTCTGAGTTGGCAAATTCTTGTCGCCCTGCAGGACCAGCTAAAGGTGTGCCCATCTGCCCAAGTCTCCAGTTGACTCAGGCCACAGAGGTTTGCAGATGTCTGTCTTTCGAGGTCTGTCTATATCCTGGACTCACCAGGGACCGCCAGAAGAACAGGTCAGTCTGTCTTGGGTGTGCAGCCAGACCACGCGTTAGAAGTGAGGCTGCCCAGACCCCATCATAGAGAGCCACTGGTACATGCAACCTGTCTTCAACTCACACAGATTTGGGGTGCCAATGACCCCGAGTCCCGGCCAAGTGCCGGTCATGGCAGGCCCCAGCAGCCCTACAGGCAGTGAGGAAACTTACAGCTCAGCCGGTGAGTCTGCCACCCTCACCAGGATAGTCCACTATGTCCACAGCCCAGCACAACCCATACACACTCCAGGAAACCCCAGGTGCTCCATGCTCCACCTGGGAACCTTCCAGACCTTTCCATGGACACCTACCTTCCTTCCCCCACTCTGCTAAACTCAGGCTGGGGTTTTCCTTTATAATCTCAAAAGCAAATGATCTGTCATTTGGTGGGGGGGTGGAGGGGTGCCGCTCCCATGAGCCCTGGTGGGGCAGCGGGTAAGCGCCCAGCTGCTGAAGGAAAGGTCTACAGTTCGAGCCCCACCAGCAGCTCTGCAGGAGAAAGGTGAGGAAGTCCGCTTCCATGATGAGTACAGCCTGGAAAAACCGCGGTGCGGTCCCACGCTGTCCTGCAGAGAGCCAACAGGCAGGGGTTTGGGTGTGGGGGTCCTTATGGAAGGCGCTCTGGTGGCTCCGTGAGTTAGCCTGCTCACCGGACGGTGGGCCCTTGGAACTGAGCAGCTGCTCAGCAGGAGGAAAGGTGCCCATCTGCTCACGGCTATGTGGATTCGCAGCCTTGGCCACTCCATGGGCAGTTCTACGCCATCCAATGGGATGACTATGGCCTCCAGGGCGATGGGGGCTCACTTGGTCTTCAGGGCGTGGCATCGTGTGGAATGGACACCTTGTGGGCGATGCTGTCCCTGGTTCCTTCCATCACAACGGAAACTCCGACTTGTCAGTAGCTGCCACTGAGTCAGCTCCACCTCAGGGACCCGTGGCACCAGCGTGGCACCACCTCGCTCCAGGAAGCCCAGTGCCATCAGGCGAAGCCAACTCACAGTGTGGCAGCCCTGAGGGACAGGGCGGCACCGCCCCTCGCGGTTCCAGACTGTAGCCCTCACAGGAGTAGAGCCACGCCTCACCGTGAGCAGCCACGTGAAACCACTCTGCCACCGGGCTCCTGGGGGAGCGTATTTTCAACAGTAGATTCCCTGGGGCTTTCTTCCAAGATG